AAAAAAAAAAAAAAAAAAAAACATATACTTACTTGTTTTGCCCTCTTCCACTAGCACGTAGACCAGCTTTCACCGCGTACATGGATCTGTCGTAGTCCGTACATTCCACTTCGTGAGTTGTGGGTGTTTGCTCCAACTGCAAAAATGCAACGTAGTGCTCCATAGAAATGGGACTCCTGTACCTGCTGGACTTGTTTTGTTCCTGTCTAAACAAATCCAGAGTTTTGTAAAATGTGGCGTCTACCAGAGCTCTGCACGGCAGGAACCTAACCCCTTTCAGGACGTTGTTGCAACTCTCCGACATATTCGTTGTCAAGGTGCCCCATCTACGTTTTTCATCTCGATACAGGGTCCATTGGTTCAAAGGAATATTAAAAAGGTAATTGTATGCGTCGAGATTTAATTCACGAAGTTGCTCTTTTGGCTGTCGAAATTTTTGCTTCGACAACTGTGAACCAACTCCCAACACCAATCCTGGATTTTCTTACTTCTGAACCTAGTCATCACGTTGCTTCGAAGGTGTCGAAGGCAAATCCGGTGATACGCAGCGGGTTCTTGCCAATCTGGTAATGATTCAATCGCACTGCGTAGGCCCACATCCCTGTCAGAAAGAACACAGATTTGTCTGTCAGATACAACATATCGCCGCAGATTCCTAAGGAAAAATGACCAACTGCCCGTGCTTTCTTCGTCGACAATCGCATACGCAATTGGCAATAGCCGCTTATTCGTAGTCTGCGCTATGGCCACAAGCATTTTTCCTTTGTAAGATCCACGCAGATGTGTGCCATCAATGCTAATAACCGGCGGGCACATTTGGAAGGTATGAATTGCGGGACCAAACGCCCAGAACACATATTTGAATTCTCTGTCTGGAACGTGTCGCGCCATTTCACCACCCTAAAATTCCCAATCAACAACTGTGTTGGGATTCGCTCTTTGAAGAGCGACAAAATATCTGCACAATACAAAACAATTTCATAAATAAATAAACATAGTGACAGAAAAAAACACGTATATTTGTAATTAATTTTTGCTTACTGAGGGAGTTCTGCGAAGTTCGATTCCCAACTGCCGTACACACGATCGATTGTTTTTTTCTGCCGTGCCATGCCTTCTTATAACTGACGTCGACATTCCAACACTGCTTCACATCAGCCTGGACCATGTTAACCTTGTACTCCACTTTCTTCTGAATCTTATTAATTATAAGATTCAAAATCATATGGGCGGTCACGTATCTGTGGTCATTTCTGTCGACCTGTTGCATGCAAGTGTGTTCGTCAGTCCATTCAGTTACTTCCCACAAATCATCACACCGTCTGGCCTTGTTCACCGGAGCCGCCCACAGACAAGGCACATCTGCATTCGATCTGTAGACCAGTTTGTATGACTTCTGATTTGAATAATTTGTCCGAACCTCCCGCAACCTATCGACGTTCCAAGCCATTAGACTTGTTTTGGCTTCTTCCTTACTCCGAAAAAATGTACCCAAACGTATGGTCTCAATGTCGCCATTCCATAATGGAATAGCATACTCGTTCGCATCTATCCTGGATGGGTCCCATTCATCCATCTCGCGGTATATGTGCCGACCATCACTAGAAAATGAGTGTTCTTCTTCAATGAACTCGGGTTCACTCTCCTCATTTACCGGTCTATCTGATTCGGTTTCTGAGGTCTCGTCTGTGAAATCATCTTCACCGGGAATGAAATCTTCATCAATATTTTCTCCGTCCTCATCCGCCGCCCATTCTCTTGATGTCCCTTCTCCAAA